CGCTAATTTTTTGATTTATTGTAGAGATGAGGTCTCGCCAAGTTGCCCGGGCGGGTCTCGAACCCGCGGGCTCAGGCAGTCCACTCACCTCAGCCTCCCAAAGCACTGGGATTACAGGCTGAGCCACCGAGCCGGCCAAGCTTTAACTCTAATGGTCCATTAGCTCTATCATTTCTGATGACAGGCGATGATAAGGACAATGTAATCTTGGGTATGAAGGAAGAACTCCTCGGATTTCTTGAATGACTGGATTCCTCAGTCACTTGGAAGAACCACTCGAATTCCCCATGTGGGAAATATTTGTTCTAACATGACCCTTTTATATAAGGGCTATATTTGTAACCATGAGATTTGGGAGATGAATAGAATCAAATTGGCAATTAAAGGAAAGTCCGAAGCATCTACATATTAACACAGTTCCATAGGTAAGCAGTGTGAATTTCCAGTTGAAAACCATTGGCTTAGAATACACTGAATGCAAACTTAAAAAGTAAAATTCTGGCCAAGTTAACATTAAACAAAATCTGAAATGATGATGGATAACAGTGTATTGTTCTTGTCTAATATAAGGCAAAGGTGCACCAAGACTCTGATACATAGCCACATATCATGGGCACTGAAAAATGTCTAGGAATTTTCTGTAATTTCTAAAATATTTATATTTGATTACATTTAACCCCTTAAAATTAATTTAGGAAAGACTCCATGTTTTTTTGGACTTGACAATGGTCTCAATGCAATTCATACAATATTAAATATAACTATTTTTAGCATGTTTCTTACTACAAGGTCAAATCCTTTGGAATTTTCGTCCCTGGAAAATCTCAATGTTAGGTCTATGTGTAAAATATATTTGAGATTTTATTTTGGGAAGGAAAAATGTTAAAAGTTGTCAGGAGGCCTTGGACATTTGACTAAATAGGATTACAGTCATTACAGGATTCATGGGAAATACTACTTGGTTATCTACTGAATCAAACTGTTAAAAATTTTCAAGTAAACATAAAGGTAACATGATAATAAGGCTCCTTTGAAGTTGAAAAGACTTTTAAAAAATAATTAAGGACATGATAAAGCCAACCTAAAGATAGGACATTACAGTATTTTGATAAGACATAAAATCTTTGCCTTTTGGGTAGATTACTCAAAAGGAAAGACCACTTATAACCTTTTGTTAGGAGTAGCCCAATGACCCAAGAAAATTTTGTTATTTTGACAAATCTCTGATAACAGCAAAATTTTTACCAGAGAAACCCAAATTTTCATTTTACACCAGCATAAGATTTGATACTACAGCTCTTTTTGAGAATCATACATACTCTATATAAATTTTAGTCAGTTTTAGCCACAACAAATAAAATTCCTTTTTGTGAACGCTTTATAATTTAAAAAAATCAAAAAAAAATTTTGTCTTACATAGTCTGTGGAACCATTAGTTATTTTAACTTAGGACAAAATGAATCTTTTTTTCCTTAACAAAACATATTTTGCATACAGGGCTGTTTCCCTCTGCCATCATTGGTTTTAGTCTCATTTATATATATATGTATATATCTGTATATATGTATACATATACACACACATCATTATAATTTTAGCCATTAATAACTTCTATTTTACAGATAAAACCAGGAGCAGAGAAATAATGCGTATGAATATATGTCTCATAACTTTGTATTGTTGTATGCTTTTTACATATAAATTTTCAGTATGGACAAATGAACACATCCAGATATGGTCTCACTGTACCATATAAACTTATATGCTATA